TCACACTGCTAGTACTCCTTGCAACGCCCGTGCCCCGTGGGTGTCCTTTTACTGGTACAGCTCCCTGGCCTAGATCAAATGATCGCGCTGCAGAAAGGCCTGCCAGCAGCCGCCATGCCATGCGCGGCGCGGCGCCGTTCCTGAACAAATTACAACAATATGTCGAGCAAACTACATAACCCAGCATCCGGGTACAAGGATGCAGAACATGCAACGAAGGCGTCAAAATAGGAGGACCGCTAAAATGGTAGCTTTCCTTTCGCTTTCCCTTCAAGCCAATGAAAAAGGTACCAATCATGGCATCCATCTCAAGATCTTGTTGCATCGATAAAGGCCATCTGCTGCTGCATTGCTACCACTGGCCTTCCCATGCAACTGCCACTTGCTAAGCCACGTTTGTCGCCATCCAGTTGGCATCAGGGCTCTGCGCTGACAGATCCACTTATGCCTGCGGCACCAAATCTTAGGCCTGTGCTATGCGAGACGTTGACTTCACAAAGGCTTCTGTGAGGCATGGTTGTGGGCTTTTAGTTGCGAAGCAAGCCAAGCAATGTCCCGGGATGTTGGGCGTACCCACTGTTGACACAACTGATCGGGTGGCTCTATACTTGGTCCAGTCACGTCAAACATTGCAACCACCATTCCAAGTCGAGACTCCCCAAGATTCATGGGTCCCGCAACCTTCCAAGTCCTGACCCTCATTTGCCCAAGGGACCCCTGACAATTGAAGGTTCACAATGGACAAAAGCTGGAATGCCGAAAGGCCTGCTTTTGGCAAAATTCATGGCCACTTGCAAGCCCTGCTCCACGCCTTGGCTGGAAAGTGAAGAGGTAGTACACCTGAGATGGATTGCCCCGGTTGTGCAAAAATAACGAACTCCTGAGTGGTGTCCTAGGCTTCTAGGAGGTCGCCTTACTAGTTTCAAAGGTTCAAGAACCCCACTGGTTCACACGAACGCCGCGAAATATGTTCGACAAACGCAGTTTCAGCTCTCAAAATGGAAAAACAACCATTTCCACACCTGTGCCGGTGCAACCATATGCTTCGGCAATGGCACACACACATATCGTTGATTGCCGTTCTTCCATACTTTGCAGGGTGGCTTTTGCTGTACCAAGCTTCCGTGTCACGGCGAATCTTTCCCATCATCACCTGCGCAGCGAGACTGGAGACTACCGGGTGTCCCAAAATAGCGGGGAAAACCTTGTCCGCATGCCGGCTTCCGACAAACAAGTCTATGGCCGTCTACAGCAAAATGCCGCAGAACACGCGCTAACCTTTGGAACGAGAGGCAGGCTTACACGCCCACAGTTGATCACTGAGAAGCAACAGCAAGCATGCTCTGGCCCCAGCAGCAAAGTTAGCACACTTTCCTCACGAAAAGTGCGGAAACGTTGTGCAGCCTTGCTTGAACTCCAGGCAACTTACAACTCTGTGTTTGCTCAGCCCAGTGCAATCTACGTCAGCAAGCGATGGAAAAAGGGGTTTGACACGGCTAATGTGTCGCGCTGTTCTAGCGTCTCGCAACGTCAAGGCTTGAAGCCCTCCCATGCCTGCGGAATGTACATGCTAGCAAATGAGATCAATCTATGGCCAAGGCCAAGGGGATCCTCGTGATTGCACCAGGCAACTTACAACTCTGTGTTTGCTCAGCCCAATGCAACACACATCAGCAAGCGATGGAAAAAGGGGTTCGACACGGCTAATGTGTCGCGCTGTTTTAGCGTCTCGCAACGTCAAGGCTTGAAGCCCTCCCATGCCTGCGGAATGTACATGCTAGCAAATGAGATCACTCTATGGCCAAGGGGATCCTTGTGATTGCATCCCCCAAACTCCTCGAACTTGTTACATCAATGGCCTCGGAGTCGTCTAAGGGCCACCTGTTCTGCTCAGCCAAGCGCTGAATCGCCTTCACAAAGTAGGTGTTCTGCTCCTGCAGCTTCTTCATCAGCTCTGCTTTGCGGCCTGCAGTGAACTTCGTGTCGTCCACCAAACTCCATTTCTGTCCTCCGGCCATGAAGTCAAGCGTCGCATTCTTGGCCGCACCGCCTTTGGTCAGGCAGTCTGCCAATTGAGCGACATCTCATGATGGTGTTGATCTTCAGGGCATGGCTGACCACCAGAGTCAGCATATCCAGCTCGGTCGCTGCGAAGGCCGTGCAATGAGGAGATGTTCCTTGTGGCCAAGTCATAGATGCCTCGGCTGTCCATGACCAGTGCTCCCGTGGTCTTCAAGTCGACCACCGTCTCCAGGTGCTCCCGCATCAGCCGCTCGCCTTTGATCTCTGCCAAGAGTGCTTGCCTGCACCTCTGCCCCATTGGATCCCAAGCACTGCCTCGGGGTCTTTGCTGACCGCCAGTGGATTTGAGCCGTGGGCTGCTCTTCCCGTGCATGATGTCGTTCGGGGCAATTCCCTGCAACGATGACCATCGTGCTGCCCTTGTCCGGTCGGTTGACGTTGCTCGCGTCCGCCCAGACAATCAGTGCCAGGTGGCTCC